GCTTGCATTTCTCGATGGATGCAGCACAGTTCTCCAAACAGCTGTCTAAATCTGTCCGTTCTGATATCCTCCATTAACCCTACTCCACTCCATGAATTAGCCACTCTCTGTGGCTCACAATCTCTCTCCTTGTGAATTTTTTTGCCAAACTACAGCACTATGTTCCTCTGGGGCTAGTCTGTCTTCCCAGTAGACTTTTATGAGACCTCCCATCAAAACAGTCCTCCACCTCTTAATTTCAGCCCTGCACCTGTTCAGTGACTCCTCAGTCCTGCCATAACCTTGTTTTCAAATGACACCTAGGCATTCAGTCATCAGGATTTCTTCTTCTCTTTGGTTGTATAAACTTGTGTAACAACCCAAAGGTGCAGGTGCATAACAATGCCTGTGTCATCTAGACTAGCACATGAAACTTCCCACACAAAGAGTATTAAGTGAACAGGATCAGAAGAACAAAATAATAATAATAATAATAATATAAAACACAACAGTAACAACAACAATCCCTTTTCTCAAAAAAGCTGGGCAGAAAACAATTTTTCCATTGTGGAAAACTCTGACGTGCCAAAAATGTACTTTAAGAGTACCAAGAGACTGCAGGTTTTCATGAAAAATGCAGGAAATAAGTCCTACCTAGCCAAAAGCCTGGACATCAGAGTAGACCTGTTAGGAATGAAGAGTTTAATAGTACCAGCCTCTGGCCAACAAAAGGTTAATGCCATAATCTGGAATCTAGAAAAAGGTTATGAAATAGCACAATGTACATGTTAAAGTAGAAATTTACGGAGTTCATGTGAAGTGCCCCAACCTGGAATGTCCTACCCTTGGAATTATGCAAAGCATGTAGGAAGTCTCTGTGTGCATGCAAATGTCTGTGTACGTTGTATGTGTATGTACATGTGTATATTTGTGCATATATAACAGGATTAGCAATAAATTACTAAACTGTGAGGTTTTTCACAGCAAGGAATTATTCAATTAGCAAAGATGCACGCTTAACCAGTAATGTCATCACTTAATAACAGCCTAATCAATTGTATGAATGGCTTTTAGGAATGAATGGGCAGGCAGCCACCTGTTCATCTCATTCATGATGTGTTAGGAACAAAAAGAAAAGAAAATGTAGTATGAATTCCCTTTATACTTGTGTGTTTGGCATATCTCCTGCTATCAGTCAAGCTACCTGGACAGCTGCTCGTGGCAGTAAAGGGTGTCTTGGTTTATGCCCCTGGGGGCAGAAGCAGCCAACTGACAGTTAAAAGCAACTAATTAAGGAAAAGCTTGGAGACATGGAAGACCCAGCTCAAATCTTCCGTCTGGACCCCAAGTCTCCTGTACCCACAAGGAGATCCTGGACCATCTGTATCCTGGCTCTCCTGACAGGGTCATTTTCTCTCTTACGCTACATTTCCCCCTGAAACTCAAAGTCTTTCCCAGGGCGTGTTTCATAATGGATCAACTTATAATGCTACCCTGAGATGCAAACCTGAACTGTCCCTGATTATGCCTCCATGACCAAGAAGCTTCCTGCACTCTGTAGGAGTCTCCACCGAACTGCAGCTGGGGTGGCACCAGCATGGCAACTTGTAAGGCCCTACTGGTAGGTACAGATCTGGTGAGTGCCTGCCACATGCAATCCCCAAAAAATCTAGGTAGCGACAAATCTGAATGTGCTGGCAGCGCCCTCCACTGCCAGCAACTACAGGCAGGTTTGGTGACAGAGTCCTCCCACTGAGTTTACCCATCTGCAACGCAGGCACTGATACATGAGCTTCCTTTGCATTCAGTGGGCACCTCTAAAACTTCCACTGCATCTTAAAATAGGAGTCCCAAATGGGCTAGATAAAACAAATCCCATTTCTTTCCCAAACTATGGAACAACCAAGAGCGACCGGCACAGATGAAGGTATCTAAAGTCAAGTGAGAGGAGTCCCTCCGTGTGCAGCTGTCCATGCATTACCCAGGGAGGTGCAGGCTCCGTGAGTCACACCAAGAAGCCCCTCGCTGGGAGGGCAGGTTCATCCACAGTGCTCTCACAAACCTGTGGCACTGAGCCCCAGCTACTGGAGCTGGGGAAAAATGGGTTTAGAGGGAACTCAGGGCTATGAGATAAAAGCAGTGCGATACAGAAGAGGCGTGACATGGAGACCTTGCACCAAAAAAACTGGAATCATCTTCCTGGAGAGAACGGTTTGTTCTTCCACAGAGCTAGCCCTGGTTGGTTTGCATGAAGGATGGACTAGCAAGAGAGCTAAGCAATTGACTTGCAGTGAGTAATTTAGTCACAAAATACCTCAATGTCTTTCTGTCTGCAGAAAGCAAATAGGATCACCCATGGTCACTGACTTGAAATTAGTACTTACGTCTTCGATAGTGGAAGGCTGGCTTCTACAGAAATGTTCTGCACTGCTCACTGAACAGACCTGGGTGAGCCCAGTGCTTTTAGCCTTGGCCTGCTGAAGCGCACAAACACTATTTCCCATGAGAAATGAGTCTCATCACTTAAGTGCAACCAGTGCAACGCACTGCAATGTACTTGGGATATATGACAAAGTTTACCTGAGAGACTGTTTGATTAAAACACAACAGGGGAACAAACATGCCCAAAGTAAATTCCCTTAAATAGTCAGGGATCATTGCTTTCTGCTTTTGCACCAGGATCTCTATGGCACAGCAAGAAACCGAGTGCAGAGTCCCAGCCAGAGAATTACCTGTGTGCTTACCTTTCCTCCTCCCACGTCTCAGTTGCCTTTTCTCATCCAAAGGACCTGACATATTAAGACAACTGAGGCACTGAGGCACACATCTACACTCCCGTCACCAGTTCCCCATGTAAGCAAAAGCAAGTATCCCAGGGAAATTGTGCAGGCTGCAGTCAGGCAGCAACACCCGCTGAGCCAGGTGCAATGCATAAGCTTCCCCGGCTCTTTTCTGGGAAGACCCCTGCAGTTGCCCAGCTCTCCCAGCCAGTCTCGCCTGACCCAGTGCCACCTTCTTTCCTCCTGTCGCTGTTCATCCAGCCACACCACAACCCTGCCCTGGGTGTGGGTCCTGGAAACCACCACTCTCAGGTGAGCTTGTCAGTCCCAGGGGATGAGTACTTCTCCATGCAGAGCTGCTCCTGCCCACCACGCCCAGCCCTTGCGTGGGCCAAAACCTGGGGCACGCTGCGATCAAGACCCCACGAGGCAGACCACTGTGTAGCCTTTTCTGGTTACCCTTGCAGTTCATCTATCTGCGCTCCTCCAGGGACCTTCCTCCAGACATCCTTGTGTCATGAGGAAGAAGAAAAACGCCTGTCCTTCTCTAGAGCTGGTGCTTTTTGGTGTCAAAGCAGCACAGTAAGAAACTACAGAGCTGACAGAACCTGTGCCAAAACCAGGAGAATGGTATGAGGGTGTGGGCCATGCCAGGATGGAAAAAATACCTATGGGAGATTAAAGAAGGGATCTCTTAAATGTCATGGTGCCTTGTTGATGTCAACACACCTCTGCTTGGCTGCCTGTGCCATGGGAAGAGGGATGCTGCTTTCTCTGGCCAGGCGCACTGGCACAAGGGGAGGCAGGACACAGGGATGGGACAAGGTGGGTGGCCAT